GATTTTCAAGTACAATATCTGGGAAAACTATTTCATCAAAAATTCTTAAATTAATATATATGTTCACAAAATGTATTAATAAATGTGCTTTAAAATTCTACACAATTTAGTACCTATACAATATTATAATAATTTCTTCAAAATGTAAATTTTGAATATATTAGAATTAAAATTTACTTCTAAATTAAATGACAATTTATAGATTTCTTGATATTAATCATATTTAATATATTTCGTCGTGATGTCAGCACGATAAAATATATAATTCCATAAGCTTCAAATTAATATATAAATATCCACATTATATAGGCTCTGGRGGGATATATCCCACTCACCCCCCCTTAATTACGCCCCTGACTTAAATACCTACTAAGTAGTTATAACTCATGAATTTTAATTCCGAATAGATTTAATGATTTGGTAAATGATTTTAATAAGTTAGATATCTTTTTTTTTTGTTAATATTAACATGTAGTTACTATATTGTGTGTAATTTTTGGCCTTTAGGTATAATATTAGTTATATTATGGGTTGGCCAGCCAAAAATTATAAATAAATAACCAATTTGTATAACAATTATTTCATATTATTTAAACATCGAACATGTAAATATATAATAAGTCTTAATTTCATTTCATTCGAATTCATATAATTAGACAAGTATTAGGTACCTAACTATAAGCAGAGCTAATATATCATGCATTCTGCAGAATATTATTAATTATAATATATGCCAAGTCTACCTATTTTATCAGTGTTATTTTTCAATATCTGCTGYCGTAGTACTGAAGTCAGTTCCACTTTTGTGTTAGTTAGCGCTTTAGTTATATCGTCAACACAAATTGTTTTTTTCATCAAATTGTCAATAGATTGCAAATGTTGTATGAGTGTTTCTTCATAGTCTCTAGCCATGATATCCAATGCTTCATTTTCATCGATAATATTTTGTAAGCTACGTTTCTTAATCATGTCTTGAAGTTTTTTGTCCTTATTTGCTAAATTAGTTTCAATAACCTCATTCCCTTGTTCTGTAAATAATATAATTTATTGTTAATTTACATTATCGCTTATCATTATCATATTATAATTTGTAGTATATATGACATAAACGTTTATAACTGTGGATCAAGCATAGATATGATGTAATTATATTATAAAGACATACAATGAATAAACGGCCAAACGTTTTAGATCAGAGAAAATAAAAAATAAATTGCACTAATAACGTGTTGAAGCCTCCAAGTAGAATATGGTAATACCATATAAACAGTGGCGTATTTAAGGTTTTTCCGCCTCTAGGCACTTTCCAATTCGCCGCCTTCCTCCCCCTTCATCCATCCTACAATTATTTCTAAAACGTATTTAAATATACAATTTATTATATTATATTAAAAAGATACATTGAGATATAATGTTGATATATGATTAATTTTGAGCGAACAAAAATTAGTTGAGTTTGATTTCATCAAATATTCAAATGAAAAATAATTTTTCTAATTTTGTAAAAAAAATTGTTGAAATTTGCCGCCCTCCAATGTTGCCGCTAGGTCCTGTGCCTAAATACGCCTCTGCATATAAAGAACAATTCTATAATCAATGATATAATGTCTATAATACATTAATACCCAAGGTTTAAGGATCTATAAACCTTGTATAATACTTATGCCTTGTTTACACGTGACGAGTACTCGGCCGAGCACTGTCCCGTGTGAACTCAAGAAACCAGTACTCGGCCTAGTAATCGGACGAGTAAAATAAGCAGGCGAGTKAATAGAAACAGTTTCTATTCGCTGGGCCGAGTGACTACCCCCACTACCAAGACCGAGCAACATAACGAGTGACACGGCCGAGTACTCRTCACGTGTAAACAAGGCATTATACGTTCTACACACTGGATAGTGACGATRGTGGTAATAAATTACTATATAGATTATAGATATTAACTAGGTATTAATGTACCAAAATTCCTATTCATTTTTGTAAAATATTATCCAATTTAAAAACAAAAAAATATTTAGATACTATTCAACTCTATTACCAACGCAAGCATCGTCTAAAGGTACCTAGGTATTTATTGGATTCTCATATTTTATGTAACGAACGTTATGTAATGGATAGGTATCTTCTTTACATCGTAATTTACCAAATTTTTTGTTTTTTATTATAAAAAGAAATTCATGTCCTCAAAAAAGTAAACACAAACCCAAGAAATCTGTATAGTGAATATATAGTAGATTATGACTTATTATGAATGCGTTCCTCGTCATTGTATGTAGTGTATAGATAACTGTAATGGATGTGTCAAATTTTAATTTAAAAGTAATTCATAAAATCATTGTAATATACAAAAACCAATTCTGAAGAGATAATATAGTATGGTCAGGCTCTATTTCTTAAGATGATATATTATAGTTTATTTATTTGTATTACCTTATGGTAATTAAAAAATTGTCTTCATATGATTATAATTTATAACTAAGCTGCCTAAATTGTAACATACTACGTAAAAACCACAAAGTGTGTTGAATTCTTGACTTCCAGAAATATAATAAAATAGTATAAAAGAAAAAATTGGATCCGATGTGGCAATGTATCRTAAATTCATAATTAAAATGTTATTCAAAATACAAACCAGTCTTTAGTGATTAAAGGGTGTGTGATCCCCCTTCACCACTCTGAATCTGCACCTACCAGTTCAACAACCACCATAATTATTGTTTTAAATCAACTCAGAATTTTTTTAAATTAGGTAAATGTGTTAATATARCTGCGTACGAGTTGATTCCCGGGTACCTGTTTACCTGCACCGATACCGTTGAGTAAGTTGATTCCCSGGTCATTTYTATATTTTTTTCAATGTTTAGTACAATATTTAGTTTATTAGCATAAATGTCATCACGAGGAGGTTGGCTGACAATTTYCTCAAAATGTTGTTTTTTCATACTTTGAAAATCATATAATTTTTATTTATAAATTATTTTTTGTATTATATTTATTTAAAAAAATGTCTATCACATTGATTTATAAATTGATATATACAGGTAATGAAATTGTACAACAATAAGGAATCAACTCAAAACTACCTACTCCTTAATGTCGGAAATCAACTCACCTATCGCAGTTAATATATTGTTGTTAACTCCATAGACATATATAAAAAATTGTTTAAACATGTCTATGGTTAACTCAAAATYTAGTACCTGCATAGATACATTTCTATAATCTCGACATCACGTTTAGGTACTTGTTATGTAATCCAGCAGGTACCTACGSTGTATCTTGTATCTAACTATTCTAACTCTTGTATTTTGTCCTTAAAATAGGTAACTACTTTCTCGGGACATATACAATGACAATTGACAACGTGTTATTAATAAGACCTGGCTACGATATCTAGATGATGCAGAACACACGTTGTTTAGATGTGATAGATGGTGGTGGCAGAGGAGAGAATAGGAAGTGTCCATGGAGGCGGAGATGGAATCAGATAGCCTCGTAGGGGTAATGCTGGAAGCCTGGAAAGCGGTGAAGCAGTTTATCACTATTATGATATCAACCAAAGAAGATGAGCGGAACATACAAAGGGCGGAAAATGATTTCTTACCAATTAGTTAAGGAATATTTTTTGTGGGCCGAAGGCCAAAATCAGAGGGATAGAGCCCTCTCTTTCTTGTGGAGCGATGCTCGTAGAATTTATGTTATAAGTAAATAATGATGTATTAACGATTTGATTATAACAAATGATGTGGATGCAGGGGGAAGTCTGGCCCACCCCAGGGTAAAGTTCCCCGCCTGTATCGCCACGATTCGAAAAAAAAAAAGGTAACTACTTTCTAAAAGAAGGTACCTAAATATAATATCCAAATAAATAGTGATGGGTCGAACTTAACCGAATTAAACCGAACCCTTCGAAATTCGAGCTCTGTATGCAAAAACTTCAAACCGAATATAATCAAGCATCTTATTTACTGTTCGAAAATTGAACTTAATATTAGTTGAACTAGACTTCGTACTTAATAGTCATGATAATTCAAAGACCAAATATTTGTACAATTCAAAAGTTATTTAAAAAAAATAAAAATTGATAGTAAATTATTTATAAATCAGGGTTTGAYCTATCACTACAAATAATATATCATACATGTTGTATACCCATATGGGCATAAATATGGTATATTATATCAAACAATGTTGACTTAATTTACTTCACAGGAAAAATAGGTCTTATTAAACAGCCTTGAAGGTATACCCCTAYGATTGTGCCGCTGATAGAATATACCCTGTATAATAATAATAAATTATTATTTGTTATATAATCTTATCCTTTATAATTTATGATCATAAACTAATAATTATAAGTACACTATATGGTATTAAATTTTACAGTTTACCTTTGGCCAAAAAATATTCTTTCTGAAGACATTCAATTAATTTGTGTTGTTCTGTCAGGCAACGATCGTTAGTGATGTTCCTTTCTTCCAAGCACTCTAAATTTTTAACTATACCTTTGGTTTTATGCTTATTATTAGTATAAGACATTGCTTCATGTACTTGTTTCTTAGAAAGTCCACAAATTAAATTGTTTTCCAAATCATTTTTCAACAACTGACCATGAAMCRTATGAAAAATTACTATCAAAATAAAACAAAGTTTCTTAAAAAAATCAACATCATACATTGTGTTGAATTGTATTGTAGAAATTTTCAGAAATAAAAAAATTGAGAAATTTGTCAAAATAATATAAATATTTCCATAGAATATCTATGGTAGATGTATTCATGTATTTATTATGAATGTTAAACATAGATAACTTAAAATTGTATATTATACTATTATAGTCTTCAATCCAAGTATCCAACTAAACTATAACCATGGACAATCTTTAYTCAACAAAAGATATTAGGTAATTACTCATTTCTGAATCATTGTTGTTTGTTATATATTTGATGTTTTCATTTTGTATGAAAATTTGAATATAAAAATAATACAGCAAATGTGTAATTAATTAATTATCTTATTTCAAATTTATCTAGGGATAAATTTATAAATTTATATTGATATGATTATATTTATATTTATCTTAGGGATTAGGAAATAATGGATATTTAAATAAGTAAAAATTAATCAACATTTGTTGAGAAAATAACAACATTTAATAATGACATACTTTACAGTCGTACTATGTACTTCCAGCGACAAATAATCCAGAAAACAAATAACCACCTCCATCATCCATTGTAACATCAGGATGTGTTCTATTTGGAAGGACTTGATGGTATCTCATAAAATTATCGGTCAGTCGAAGAAATACTACGTCTCTTCTCATTTTAAATTCAGCATACATAGAAACTAACACTTCTCTATATGCTGAATAAACAACAAAAGGTCTTGACAAAGATAAATATGGTAAAAGTGTCTTAACAAATTCAGTTGGTTCCTCTCTGCAGACTACAATTARGCCATCAAATTTATTTGATTTTATAAAATTTAAACCATCTGTACTTGTTATTGGCCGATGTTTYTTCTTAATTTGTGTATATGCTTCATTACTTTTTCTTTTTTTCTCATCCGAACAATTAGGTACATCTTCTTCATCTTTTTCTGCTGAAATATTGTTTTCATTTTTTATATTCAGTATTTCATATAAACTTACAGTTAACATTTGTTTTATTTTAGTTTCAGAAAAATTCATAGCCTTCACTGCTCTTAATGCATTTTGTTCAGATGTTGAAGAGAATATGTGTACAAGGCACCCATTATCATGCAGTTGGTTAAGAAGTGCCGCTTGTAACAATCCTTGACTTCCATTTTCATACAACAAATACTTGCCTCCAGGATCCAAATTCACACGGCATAATATCTGAGCCAATGTATCAAACCTTAAAGCTATAGTCTTAGGAAGTGTCTGCTGCTTGTACAACACATCTGTTATAAGCCGTATTGACGGTTTAAATATAGTTAAATAATCACAGTATTTCCTGGCTTTTTTTTTCAAGTATTTTTCTTGAGCATATTCAGTTTTTAGCTGAAAAGTTTTGCTGTTTTCTAACAAACGTTCAACAATATTCTGCCCACTTTCTCCACTTTCTTTCAACGCTATTATTTCGTCAGTGCTCAGCAACTGAGATGAACTATCATCGGTTATRAGTTTATTATCTGTTCCGGAACCATTTGTTGACCATATGTTACGCGCCTGATTATCGTTACACATAACAAGAGTGTAATGTCTTTTTTTGTCTGGTATTGGCTCCAATTTGAAAGTAGATGAGAACGGTTGTCCAATAGCCGCCTTGAGATCGATGACATCTCGGCCTAATTTCAATATRGCTTTGTTCGATATTTGATGAATTAAATAAGTTTCGTTTTTGTTAATAACTAAATAATGACCTCTGGTGATAATRTTCTCAAGATTTGTAGCCGTCATGATATTTACTTAATAATTTCGGTCAGTAGGTACACTTTTAGTTAAACTTAAAAATATTTTTAAAAAATGTAATTTAAAATTTTACAAGAAAAAATTTCGTTTGAAATTTCTGACTTTTAAATTCTTATCATTTAAAATATTATATTTTGAAATTTTAAACATTCGATAACATCCGCATGGTCAAAACATAGAGTATAATACTCTAAATGTGGTTGTATTCAACGTTCTGTGATTCAACCATGGTATAAGGTTATTATATGGCATACGGATTTATTAWTATTTATAAAATGTAAACGTCATGTTGGTTACATCCATAGACCTTATACTCAGTATAAGGTCTATGGTTACATCACTGTTCTATGGTTACATTGATGGTGTCAGCTGATCTCGGAATATATATAATATAGTTATCAACAACCGTGGTACTAKTGATACCATACTTCCATCACGAACAATTGAAAGACCATTGTTATCATTTTGTAATTAGCATTTAGGTTCATAAGAAAAAAAAATTGTGCCCTTACACTATTAAAGTATTAAGTATAAATAATAATAATAATATTAAATTTGATCTGTATTCTGTTTTCGGTTATTCGATAATCAATAATTGATACTATTAACTTATAAGTCTTACGTATTCAATCAATTTTTTAATCAATATTTTTTCGGCAAAATATTTCATCCCGTCCTCTGAGGATTTTACACGGTTGCGAACGCATAGTCGATATTTTTAGTGGATTGTGAAGCTCAGTAAATAATAATCACCAATCTCGGATAAGAAATGGCTAGTAAGTATCATTCAAAGAATTTATGCTACATTTCATGACTATTCGCAGAGGTTAAATGTGTTGATTATTTGATAGGAGGTAACGCTAGAGATCTTGCGCGTGAAAAAAATCAGAAGAAACAACTAGAACAAGCTAAAAAAAAGGGGATTTCTGACAAGGGTTCAAATCAGGGATTGACACTGGAACAAAGAAAACAAAGGTAAATAATCATTATTATTTTTATTATACTTATTGCAATTATCAATTTAATACTGACATTTGACGTTTACGCCTTTGACAATTCCACACCATAGTCATTTAAAATTTGATAACTTAATACAAATTACAAATAGTTATGCTATGTTTGATTTAGAAATGTTTAATTTTATTTACTTGCTCAATGGTGTATGGTAAATTTGTAATATTGGACATAAACCAATTATGTAGTTAGTCACCARTCATAGGATCTTAATTGATTTCTTACCTACTTTCATCCTATGCTCTCAATTTGCAAATTCGTTATTTAAATGATTTAAATTGTTGACCTTTATATACAGGGTGATTTTTTTATCRAAGAACACTTATTATTTAAAAAAGTATTGACTTTTTCAAAATATTTTTTTACATAGTTTCAAGTTGTTGAAAAACAAACGGTTTTATTAAAAAATATAATTAATATTTTTTGTCCTTATCATTTTTTTAGTTTTTACTTTTTTGAATGACAACATAGAGTTTTAATTTCATATTCCAAAGCAGAATATTTTTCTAAGTATTTTGATTCATTAAGATCGAATTTAGGACGAGTAGTTTATGAGTTATAAGTATTTAAAGTTTAGACAAGCGGAGTAGTGGAAAAACATTTTGTGGGGTAACCCCATATATTCTGCTTTGGAATATGAAATTTAAACTCTATGTTGTCATTCAAAAAAGTAAAAAACTTAAAAATGATAAGGATAAAAAATATTTAAAAATATAATTTTTTAATTAAAACGTTTGTTTGTCAACAACTCGAAACTATGTAAAAAAATATTTTGAAAAAGTCTATACTTTTTTAAATAATGAGTGTTCTTTGATAWAAAAATTSACCCTGTATATAACCTGCCACACAGGTTAAGTTGACGCCCACCAACAACTTAACATAAATACACTAGATTTTGTTTACTATTGTTTATGTGCTTTATTATATTTATTTATAAGTAGAAAAACTAGATAAAATCTATATAATATAATTATAGGTATTGTTTAAATTAATTAGGTATTTTATTTAAACGTTGCAATTCAAAGAGCTACTAGTTGTGTGAAGACTTATAATTGTTTATTTGTTTGGTTGTTTTAAAATATTAATTAGAAATTAAATATGCAACAAAACTCGTATGAAATTATAGAATATTAGTTTGTATTGTAATATTATGTTATGCTCGTCCTAGAATTGATTCCTGTGTATGCATCCTGAGTGATGGTCAACTAGACCAGTACCATAATATGAAACAAATATTAAATAAAAAATATAGGATGCCATTTAAAAAAAAAAAGTACCTAAAGACTAAAATATTCCCCTTCCAAAATTTTTTTCACAAAAAAATGGTTTGACTTTTATTAGTTTTAATAAAACTCTTAAACTGTTTTTATTATGCAGCAATTATTTTTTTTAGTATTTGTTGTAAGTTTATTATAAATATAACCTAGAAAATCTTAACTGAAACTTTAATTTATTATTTACTACTAATTTTGTATACATTTAGAACATTGTCATTAAATACACTTATAAATATTTTATTTTTAGAGATGCCGATAGRATGAGAGAAAAACAACTAAAAAAACAAGAAGATAAATGAACTGTATAATGGATATTTGTGTCACGGATGTACTTTTTAATTCTAAGCTCAAAATAAATTCAGTTTTATATTATGTTACATTATAATCATCTTTAAATTTATAGACTGCTTTTAGTCCAATTATCTTTATCCTTGCAAAGYATAAACATGATATTCTTTTATAAATCACTTGTATTCTTTTTAAGTATCTTTGTTGCATTATATAATTGAGGATTATCTTGTACTCTAATTATTAAGTAACAATTTTAATAATTACTGTTGAGATATGAAATAAACTTTAGACATTGAAATTTAATTTATTATTGTATACAATTTATTTTACATTAAATATTTTCACCTWTACAACCAAGTTCAAGACTTAAATTTTTGTCGAACAATTTTATTGCATTTATTATTGAAAAAGTAGAACATTTTAGCAATAATAAATAATGTTATAAGTTAACTGTTAATTTATGTATTGACCTAAGACTTACAGCTATACAAATATAATATACAAGGTAATACTTTTCAGCATGCTGATTCACATT